TGGGATAGGGCCCGTACCAGAGGCATAAGGTGACCACTATCAGTTTGTATAAAGTTGTTGTGATTGTTGTATTATGATTTTTGTATTGTTATTGTGGTTCCAGGAATTATGGATAGGACGTGGATACAAAACCCGAATAGATGCGCGAACGAATACTTGGATGGAATCGAGGATTTTATTGACTTTGCAAGTACACACAACCCGGGTGCAACTAGAATCCAGTGTCCTTGTAGGAGGTGTAACAAGACGTTAAGGGAGACAATAGCAAATGTTCAATTTCATTTAGTAAGGAATGGAATGATTGAGACATATAATACTTGGAACCATCATGGGGAACAATTAGACAATGCTTCTTCTTCAAATGCCACAAGAGTGGATAATGTTGAACCTATTGTCGATCCTAATGAACAAGTCATGGATATTATAAATGATGATTTTCCATTTGCATCGACAAACACCAATCACGAAGGGGAAGATGATGTGCCTACACCAATGGACAATGCAGAGTTCGAACAATATGAAAAACTATTAAAAAATGCCAACCAAGAGTTATACTTGGGGTGCGAAAGCTTTTCCGTTCTCACAGCCATTGTGGAACTAATGCATGGAAAAATAAAGCATCGTATGTCGAACCAGTGTTTCGATTACTTTTTGGGGGTTTTCAAGAGAATGCTTCTGAAGGACAATTGTTTGCCGAAAGACCATAGAGACACGCAAAAGGTTTTGAAAGGTCCTGGATTGGGTTATGAAAGGACAATTGTTTGACAATTGTATTTTATTCTACAAAGAGTATAAAACATTGGATAAATGCCTTGTATGCAATGAGTCGAGGTTCAAAATGACATATCATAATAGAACCACTAAGATCCCACAAAAAGTCATGCGTTATCTGCCCTTGAAACCTAGGTTGCAGCGATTGTATATGTCGTCACATACTACCACAGACATGAGATGGCATAAGGAAAAACGGGTAGACGACGATGTGATGCGACATCATGCAGATGGGGAGGCATGGAAAGAGTTCGATCGAACATTCCCCAAGTTTGCTGCTGATTCTCGTAATGTTAGATTGGGACTTGCCACTAACGGATTTAATCCGTTTGGGGTTTTAAACCAACACCACAGTACTTGGCCAATTTTCGTATTTCCGTATAATTTGCCACCATGGAAATGTATGACAAAAGAATACATGATGATGACTCTATTGATAGCTAAGGATCCTGGTAGGTGAATTGATGTATACTTACGGCCGTTGGTGGGTAATTTAAAAGATTTATGGACACACGGTGTGCGCACATACGATAAATGTACTGGCAAGATGTTCACTTTGTGGGCTGCAGTGATGTGGACTGTGAATGATTTCCCTGCATATGCAATGGTTTCCGGGTGGAGCACTAGGGGTTATATGGCATGCCCTGCATGCAAGGAAGACGTAACATCTAGTTGGCACGCTGGAAAAGTTTGTTACCTTGGTCATCGAATATGGTTGCATTGGGACCACAAGTGGCGAGAAAAGGATAAAGAGTTTGACGAGGAGAAAGAGCATCGCCTCAGAACCAGAGAATGGTCCGGTGCTCAAATTTTGGAACAGCTTAACCATTTGGATTTTGCTCATTTCGGGACCAATGTCACTAGGACAAGACCTGCTACACATATGAACTGGACGCACAAGTCTATGTATTTTAAGCTCCCATATTGGTCCAAACTACAATTGAGACACAACCTCGATGTTATGCATGTTGAGAAAAATGTATTTGACACATTGGTCGGCACAATTCTAGATATTGAAGGCAAGACAAAGGACACGATCAAAGCTCATCTTGATTTGAAACGAATGGGAATACGATGGGGTTTATGGATGAATAGGGACAATGATAAAGCCAGAAGGGATCTTGCATTTTTTTCAATGAAACCAAATGACAAGAAAGAATTTTTAAAGTTTTTATCGTTTGTAAAGTTTCCCGATGGGTATGCTTCAAATATTGCACGTTGCGTGAACGTTGACGAGGGTATATTAGCTGGCTTAAAGAGTCATGATTGCCATGTGGTTCTGCAATGCCTACTTCCTGTGGGTATTTGACATCTCTTGCCACCCGATGTAGTGAAATCAATCATGTTGTTGTCCAGTTTTTTTTCGCAATTGACATCAAGAACGTTACGAAGAACGAACGTTAATCAGTTGTGCCATGACATTGTGCAAGTTCTATGCAAGTTTGAGATGATATTTCCTCCAGCCTTCTTCACAAGTATGATACACATGATGGTTCACTTACCAGATGAGGCATTGCTTGCTGGACCAGTCAACTTTCGATGGATGTATCCAATAGAAAGGTACATATTCCTCGTCTTTTTTATTAATCGATATTAAATATATTAAGATTAGTAATATATGTATCGTATCATTTTCTTTTGGCAGGCTTGTCGGAGACTTGAAGAAAAGTGAACGAAACAAAGCGAAGCCCGAATGATCCATTATACAAGCTTGGGTGTCATATGGGGCACTTACATTTTGTGGAATGTATTTAAAAGATGTTGAGACAACTTTCAATAGTCCTCCTTGCAATAATGACGGAGGTGTGAGAAAGGAGAAACTTTCAGTTTTTGCCCAGGTCGCTCGACCATTCGAATATCTGATTTATAGCGAGTCGTTTCCCAAGAAGGACATGGATGTGGCACATTGGTTCGTACTCAACAATTATGACGAGACATTGTCACACCTAGATGAGCATGAAAATATGATGAAGCAGGCACATCCTTCACATTTGTATGCCAAGAAACACCGTGAATTGTTTCTGCAGTGGTTTCTCGAATATGTAAGTTTGAAGTGTTTTGTATTGGACATATATATTGTACCAATTAAGTTGCTCGAACTAACAAATTTAAATGTTTGTCTAATATTAGGTGAATCAACTGAAAGCATCGAATTCTCCCGTGTATAGTGAAGAGTTATATAACTTAGTGTTCGGACCAATTCGCGTTGAATTGTACTCGGGTTGCCATGTCAATGGCGTCAAGTTCTTAGCGGGTGCACGAGATGAGAAGTTGTGTACACAAAACAGTGGTGTTCATGTCCCCGGAAGAGGCGAAAGTACATACATTGAATTCTATGGCAAACTAACAAGTGTCGTGCAATTACTTTATAAAGACCGGTGTTAAGTGATCCTATTTAAGTGTCGGTGGTTTGATACACACCCAAATAGGCATGGAAGTGTGAAAACAGATCATGGATTACTATCAGTGAACACTACCAAAACTTGGTACGATGACGACCCTTACATATTAGCAACCATGGCAAAACAAATTGTGTATCTAGATGACCCTAAATCCAGGAGGGGTTGGAAAGTTGTTCAGAAGATAGATCATAGGAACGTGTATGCTTTACCAGAACAAGACCATACTGACGACGACATCAACAATGTTGCTGACCAACCTCTTGAATCTTTCATGGAAAGTGGTGCGAAAACACTCCAAGATACTAATCTTATCCAAGAACCATTTCAGATAGATAGAGTATCTTCAATCTTAATACCGATTCAGTCCATCATGATTGACCTTGGTAATATTCCACGATACGATGGTCCAGTGCGCATGAATGACGATGGTGACGTACCTATCGATGATAAGGAATGGGACACTGAAAATGATGATAGCGACGAAAGTGAAAGTTATTATAGTTCGGATTAAGATTAAGGCAATTTATTTGTAATTTTTTTTTAAAACACATGAAATGTTTAATGCATTATATAGAGTGATGGAAAAAATGGTATGAATGATTCCCATTTTATATGTGAATTACTTTGTAACTAAAGTTGTTTTGTTTGTATTTTATAATAAATTGTAAACAAAATAAAAAATAAAAAAAAACCAATTTAAAACACAATTGCGCAACGCATAAAATTTTTTTGGTCACGCAAATATACTTTGCGCGACGAAATATATGTATTCGTCGCCCACGTGTCTGAAAATTCAATTAAAGCGCCTTTTTCACGGAAATTTTAAAAAACTTGCTTGACGAATCAATATATTTCGTCGCGCAAAGTATATTTGCGCGACGAAATGTATTGATTCGTCGCGCAACTGTCTGAAAATTCAAATAAAGCACTTTTTTTTCGTGGAAATTTTAAAAAACTTGCGCGACGATTGTTTAGCCTTGCAAGACAAACACTCAATCGCGTAATATTCTATATTATTAACCCCCGTGCGTCTCGTTCCTCCCTTACTTCCCTCTTCTTCCTTTTTTCCCCATGTGATACCCTCTCTTTCCTTCCTCTCTATCTTCATCCATCTCTCCTTCACTCACCTCGTCTCTCCATCCCTCTCTCAGTCCATCGCCTCTTTTTCTCCATCAGGTAATTTCCTTTTCAGTTTTTAGTTTCAATTTTGTTTATTGACTGGGGATTAGAATTAGGGTTTTTATTTTTTCAAAATGGGGGCGGTGGGGTTAGATTTAGGGTTCGTAAATTGGAGGTTACATTTAGGTTCTTAAATTAGAGTTTTTAGGGTTCTTAATTGGGGTTAGATTGAGGTCTTAACTTAGGGGAACGATTTTGGGCAGTGAGGTTAGATTAGGTTTTCTTAAATTGGGGGTTAGATTTAGGGTGCTTCACTGGGGTTTAGATTAAGGTTCTTAAATTAGGGGTTTTTTAATTTTAAGTACAGGGTTCAAATTAGGGGTTTTCTAATTTAAGTACAGGGTTCTTAAATTAAGGATTTGCATTGTTGACTGCCACGATTTGTTGATAAATAATGGGGTATTACCCTTTGTTGTTGCCTTATTAATATGATAGACTCGATTGTGTTGCTTATTGAATTCGGCCTCCCAATTTTGAAGTTACATTTACGTTTTGATATTAATCTTTCTTTTTTGCACAGTAATTTGAATTCCTCCATTATAGTTTAGATTATATATATATATATATATATATATATATATATATATATATATATATATATATATATATATATATATATATTAGATTTTCATGAGAGGTATTAGCAAACTTCTTTTGCTGCAAATCGCAGAGCATATGAACTTTGTTATGATGGGAATGTTTCAATTATTTTCATATTTCTACATCTTCAAAATCATTGAATCTACCCATATGCATTCAGAAAATGTTTTTGACCAACCAATGGACTGGAATTCCCATATGTTTATTTCAGTTAACAAGTTAATTTGAAATCAAATCAACAATTAGCAATCCTTTTGTAGCCATAGAAGTTGTAAGCATGTGAAAACAGAATCAAAATCTTTGTGTACTAAACAAATTGATTGCCAATTTTGTAGATGTCTCACCTCATTAGAACCCAGAGGCCAACGACTTCTACACCTAGTCCGACGACTATACCTACTACTGCCGCCATTGCTCCGGCAGAGATGGACCATAGGCCGGTCAATCCGGTTCACTCAGATGGTCCTCCAGTCCCACAGGCCCAGGCATCGTCGACTTCTTCGATGGCGTTACCTAGCGCCAGACGAACTCACCAACGCCCCCGCACTGTGGACCAGATGTCGCCATCGGGATCCACAACCGATGCCTCCGGTACACGGCCAGGTATACAATCCTAATTCACTCCCTCATTCCCTTGTTTACTAAGTTTTTTTATTATAGGTTCAATTTGTTATGTCATGTAAGGATAAAAAAGTTTTCATCGTTCCGAACCTTTTATTAAACTGTTGTGATCATTGTGTTGGATATGTATATTGTTTATGTTATTTTCAGGGTTTTGGGAAATGTTTTAATTATAGGGGAGGTTATGCCGAAATTTTAGTAGGATTTGTTATGAGTTATGGGTTAATGATTTTTTTTCATCTCTTTGCAGCGAAGAAAAACACCCGAGGACCTTGTTGGCAATTGAAGACGGGGAAGGTCACCCGGGTGACCAATGGTTGTATCCCAATCGGATACGATGAGCGACATTAAGCAGCGCCAACGGCGGAGCAGCATAGTGTATTGGCCCACGACATTGGGCATGTCGTGCGGACCTTTTGCCCTATGCTGTGGAAGTCTTGGAAGGCGATGCCGGATGAGACGAAGATTACGGTGCACAATCAATTGTCCGTAAGTAACATTGCCTTTGTAATGCCTTTCATGTAAAATTTATATATTTATATGTATTACTGTCTTTTATTACTAATGCTTTCAAAATATTTGTTATATTGCAGACAAACTACAATTTGGAGCACATGGACGAGGACAAGTTCGCGTATGTCAATCGACTCTTCTCCGAACGCTACAAGCAGTGGAAGAGTGACCTGCACTAATGGTTCCAGGAGTTTGATGATCCGCAGGTCGTTCTTGAGGAGGGATGTCCAAAGGAGTTGGAGGACCGACAAGATAGTAGGGTTTGGCTTTGCAGTCATTTTAAGGACTCGACACATGTGGTGCGTTTTTAATGACGACTTCTTTCATTTTACTTTTTTTTATTTTTTAATAATGTTTATTATTAATTTTTTAATTTTCTTTAACTATTACAACTAATACATTTATTTTTTGTATAACAGAAGAAGGCGAAGGCGAACAAGATCAATTGAGAGAAGAAGACTCTTCTCCACCATTCGGGTTCGAGGCCTTTCTCTTATAGGATGAAGGCACGACGGAAGGTATATAATACAACTTTCATTTCCAATTTTAAAATGTCGCTAATAATTTTTTTTTTCGTACTAACATTTTCCTTATCTTTCGATTTTAGGAGGGTTCAAAATTTCCGGAGATCGACGTCTTTGCTGACGTTTTTGTTCAGCCTGGGAATGAGCTGACCAAGTCCCTTCATGTAAGTAATTTCTTATGCATTAAACATTTATACTAATTCTTTCAAATTGTTTTCTATTAATAATCCATGTTTTTTTTCACAGGCAACTATGGTGGAGAAGCGACACGTGATGCTTCAGGAGTCCGCCTCCCACCTTCCCTCGGACATGCCGATCGAGTCTGTGGATCCCCTTGAGGATGCAGGGTTTCACATCGTCATAGAGACGTTGGACCAGACTTTCGGTCGGAGGCCAGGGATATATTGTTGGGAGACTAGAGCCTCGTCATCCTCGCAATCAAAGACCAAGGTTGCGGCTTTGATGCAAAAAGTTGCTGGGCTAAGGAGTGAGCTAGCATCGTACAAGTCTCAAATGTCAATGCTTGTACAAGCCCTCAATTCCTCTAGAATACATCTCCCCAGTTTTTCTACACCATCGCCCTCACAACCCTTCCACACTGAGCAAGCACAGCAATCAGGCCCATCGACCTCCGACCCTATCTCCAACCAGCAGCAAGATTACCAAGCACCTCCGAATGACATGCCTATAGATTTTGCCTCTTTATTTTCATAGTTTTGTTCCCTTTTAAAAAAAAAAACTTTATATTTGTACGTATATTTTTATTTATATTATAAATTTGCTTTTTTTTTTCTTTCTCCTTAGTATGAAATCTGTTTTTTTTTCCTTTTATTCTATTTTTTTATTAAAAATTACACGTGCGCGACGACGAAATGTCGTCGCGCAAAAAGTTTTGAGACAAAATACCCACAAACGCACTTGTACTCGTTTATATCGTACGACGAAAGCCTTTATCCGTATAACTTTCGAGCGACGACTAGTAAAGCGTCGCATAATTGTTAAGACGCGCGACAAATTTGAAAATGTTCATCGCGCAATGTCTTTTTTCATGAGTTTTGCGCAACAAAATATGCATGACGATTTTCTGGTCGCCATAGTTTATGTGCGACCAAATAATTCTTTGCAAGACAAAATGTCCCTAGTCGCACAAACAGTTTAATTTAGTAGTAAAATGAAAAATAATAGAATACATAAATAAATATTTATGATAAAATTTGTGTATTGAGTAAAATTTTAGAAATTTTCTAAGATCATAAGTTTTAAATTATTATTAGGCCTCACAAGACTTTTAATAAAAGAAACCCTAACCACAAACCAATAGTCGTCACCCACCCACCCCACTTTTCTCTCAAATGATTAAATTTTCTGGATAATTGTGCCAAAGAAATTGTTAATTAATAAGTTTTTAAATATTTTTGCTTTTATTCAGCATGGGAGACTGGGACTCACCCACCTACTCCTTAATCCTTATATATCTAATAGCTTTAATATAATAGATCTTCTATGTAGATTGCGAGGTCTCTCTCATCTCTCACTCTCTGCAATTTACTCTTATCCTCATTCTCTCTCATTCTGTCTCTGCAGAACCCACATTCACTCTCATCCTCTTCTTCTGGGGTTTTTGCAGAACCCACCTTCTGCATAACCCATCTTCACTTAGTAAAGCATGAAATATAAGTTTGAGGCTGTCAGAAATTACAGATGCAAGTTGCAGATGGTGAATCGTATGTAGATGCTAATGAATTGGAAGTTGTAGAACCCGTCCAGACTACCGCCTAGGGCCGCCCAGACTACCGCCTAGGCGGCCGCCTAATCGTCTCCAATTTTTGTAAATGTCCTGGCTAGAATCGAAGCAGGGCTCTACCGCCGAGCGCCTAGGGCGATTTTTAGAACATTGGGCGGATCCATGTAGGGGTAGGGGTAGTTAGTTGACCTTCCCAATTCTGGCAAACCTCCATGGAAGACCTAGTTCTGGCCCTTTGAAAGTTTTAGCTACCCTTTCAAATTGCCTACCAAATGCTTGATAAATTGCCTCAATGAAAATGGGTAGGGCAAGCTATGCTTGTGAGCATGCTGGTTTCAACGTGCTAATGTTTTGCTACTGCTTCACAATACCCCCAAGTCAGTTTTTTTTTTTTTTTTTTTTTTTCCTCTAATAAGGCTTGACTTTGGACCTTTATTCTGTTAAACCAAGTTTGACTTGGTTTAACATGATCTAGGTCACTTAAAAAGAAAATTGATTATACACAAGAGAAACGTACCCATATACAATGATAGAGACCCCAAAACTAATAAAATTCCAATTGCACTCAACCCCAATGAAATTATGAATAGTAGTATTATACTTTAATTTTAAGGCCATTATTTGTCTAAAAACATGTTTGTGAACTTTTGCACATGACCCTCCGAATGATTTTTCCCGAATCGGCCACTGGGGTACAAGATGGATTACTTATGAAGAAAACTTACTTATTCTAATTCTCTTTAAAATGTACAATTAGAGTAGATGAGTTTTCTTCATGTCTAGTGCTCTTCTAATCCCCGAGTGGATAAGTATTCTGCTGAACTTTTATGCGCAAATGGAAACGAATTATAACAAAGTACCAAATATCAACATCATAGGCGAAAACTAAAACAAACAATCTCAAAATAAGAACACGAGAGATTTAATGTGGTTAGGAACAAAGCCTACGTCCATGGGTGAAGCATGATGAGGAATTTCACTAAACAAACGGAGATTACAAAAGAGTGTTTAAACTCTCACAACCCAAATCCCACAAATTATAAACCCTGACTCACAAACTCACAAATTGACTCTCAAGAAATTGCCACACGAATGAGCCACACAAAATACACAAAATAAACTAACCCTAAGGTCCTATTTATAGTGCATAGGACTTAGATTACAATGAGAATTATAATCCTAATTGGAAGTAAAATCCAAAACCTAATCAAACAGGTAAACAAAAATCTCTCCACCAAGCAAGGTATCCAACCAAGAAGTCAAATCCAAACCCAAAAATGACACCAAGGAAAATATGTAACACAAACCTAATTTCTGCATCATCCTAATTTTGAGCCGAAAAATCCAAAAATCTCCACCTCAGCAAGAAAATAGCAAACTTCTAAATCTAATACAAACTTCAAATTTGGGATACCAAAATACAAACGCAAACATGCACCAAATTCTTTTGAAAACTGATCTCCACCATGGCTCAAAAAATCCAAGAGTCTTCAAAACTTGAACTTTCCTCCAACGGCTTCTCCAACAATTTCCATTACGAAAACTAACAAATACGAAACAAAATCTAAGCAAAAGTTTGAACATACGAACCAAATGTGTGAATTGAACTCCACCAAAAAAGCTTGAGTACCAAGCTCGACCTCCTCACATAACCTTTAGAGGAGTTCAGAACAACCTTCTTCTGCAATGTTTACCTCAACACTAGCAAAAGTCTTATCAAACGGCTTCTTTTTGCCCTTGAGTTTAGGGCAATCTACTTTCCAATGACCATCCTTATAACAATAACTACAAGTGTTCTTTAGCTCTTTAGAATTCAAAGCAGCTTTAACATCTTCCAAACTAAGACATTCTCTACCAAATAACATAGTATCGACAAAGTGTTCATATGAAGGAGATAAAGAACACAACAAAGTTATCGCATAATCCTCATCACTAATTTGTCCGTCCACACTTTTCAAATCCATCATAAGTTTATTGAATTCATCAACATGCTTATGAATTGACGTACCTTTATCCATAAAAAGTGTATGCAAACTTTTCTTCAAATACAACTGTTTAGTAAGGGATTTGTTCATATACAAGCTCTCCAATTTAAGCCACAACTCTGGTGCAGATTTGACGTTACCAACTTCACGCAAGACTTCATTAGATAAATTCAGTAGAATTGCTCCAAGTGTCTGCTCCATAACGTCTTCATTTTCCTCATTAGTCTACGAATTCGACAAAGCCTTCACACCCTTTAGCGTTTTCAAAAGCCCTTACTAAATTAACAAAGCATGCATCTTCAATTGCCAAATACCAAAGTCATTGTTGTTGAACTTTTCAATATCAACTTTCACCGACGATATAGAAGTCAAAACCTGGGCTCTGATTGTTGGAAGTATGCCCACAAAGCCACTCATTTGCTGTAATAGCTTTTGGAATACTTATTGTATTAAACTATTATATGTTTAATGAAGGGCAAAGCTTATTGTTAATCACTATTTATTGTATCATGTGTTTAAGCAATAAGGGAATCCAAGGAAAGTATTTAATCTGAGAGAAGTAATCTAAGTAAGTTAGATTAACGAGACCTTTCTCTTATGTTCATTCCTAAAACGTTCCTAGCCATAGGATTTCCAATTGGGCATTGACAATCCGCTAAGGTTAGTATGTGTTATGTCAACTCAAGCGTGAGTATGACTAGTCTCAAGTCATTTAGCGTTGGACACTAAAACAAACACGTAGGTGCTCGAAAGGGTGACCGAGTACACTGAACAACGATCAAAAGAGAGTTCGAACATACATGTCATGTAAGAACTTGTTAGTTGCAATATGCAAAGTAGTCATTTGACCTGAGGCATCATAGATGTCTAATGGTTAGGTCCTTGATCTTTGATCATGTCAAATGCATTCCATCGAGAGTGTCCACGGCATTGTTGGGGTCAAAATATCTAGTCATGTAGGCATATGAATGCACAACAAGGGATCTCTAACCTTTCATGGTGGAGGGAGAATACTCTAAGATATGATTCGGGAGTCTTTGGCCAAAGCATATGAATATCACTTAAGAAGTTTGTTCCAAATCATATTCCATTGAATCATATAAAGAAGTATCACATTGGATAGTAGACATGAAGCAAACTATCACTCAAACAATGTGATTAAGAGTATTGTATTAGAGAAGGACCGTATTGCATTGTAATTGTAACTGGATAGGTTCTCCAACCACTTCTACTTAGCTTGGGTAGCCATGACATTCTGCTAGGTGTCACTCATGGTTTGTGGAAGCCCTGAAGATTAGCAAACACTAATCTTCAACAAAGGGAGAATTGAAATGTTGTTTCAATTCACAATCGATCGTTAAGAGTAACAATTGCCCACTGCCTCGCTAATTGGAACCTAATGGATCGTACACCGAGTAAGGATGAAAGTGAAGAAATATAAATGAGATGGATAAGCGATTAAATGGCAAGACCCATTATGTTTAAGTTGTATGACAACTAAAACAAAATGGGCAATTAGCCCAATAACAAAGACAAGGCCGGCCATAAGGGTGAGTGAATGCAAACTTGAATTAATTACAAGTTTGCCACTCACATGTGATGTAGTATAAAGTCAACTTTATAGCTTTTTCTCATTAGGGTTTTCTTGAAGAAAAGAAGAGAAACACTTTCTCTCTTTTTTCTCTAAAAGGAGGCTGGCCACTTAGGGAAGAATTAGCTAGCAATCTTTTCTTCTCTAAGTCATCCATTTCATCTTCACACCTTATCCTTGGTGTGGAGACTTAGAGACACCAAATCTTTGGTGTTCTTGGAGATCCTCTCCTCACATCCTCAAGGAGCAAAGGAGCATCAAAAGGAAGAAAAACACAAGGAAGATCCAAGGAGCTAGGAGGTGACTTGAATGCCCTCCACTTGGGTGAATCCCTTGTGTAAACAAGGATGAGCTTCAAGGGTAATGAATCTCTAAATCCTTCCATCTCTTTAATATTGTTAAAGAGTCTTGTGGTTCACCATTC